TAAAGCATTTAAAGGAATACTTAATTCCCTAAATTAAGTATTATATTAGTAATCAGGAAAGAAAAAATAAAATTATCTATGAGGACTACAACTACCTTTCACTAAAAATTACAGATTTAATTCTATAACTTCAAGTTATACAGGTCTGCTATGAATACTATTATTTTGTAAAGGGTAATATGTCAATGCTAATAATTTTATTAAATTTTTAATATAATAACATGGCAGTTTGTAGATATCTGATGGAGATGTATGACAAGTATCCCAAATGCTAACAAACTCTAGAAAATGAATTAGAAAAAATGAATTAGAAAATGAATTAGAATCAGAACCCAAGAGCGGTTTTCAATGAGCTACTACACACACATACATAATACATTGCATATATGTAATAAATGACTTGAACAACCAAAGATTTTATGTCATTTACCATTTACCAAGTAGAACTAATTCTGTTAGCAGTTGATAAGGGAATGCAAAACATGAATTGGAAATTCTAAGCAGGGCTAGTCAAATGGTAGGTTTGTACTGGACATTATCTAGAATCAGGAATACTTTGCTGAAGGACTCCCTAATGTTGTCATTGTAGGCCATATCTCTTAAACCAGTTAGTTTCTCTATAAATCTAGTCTTCATACCAACATGGGGGAGGGACAATCACTTAGTTGAATGGGGTTCAGAAAGAAATCAATGCTCTTTTCCAAACTCAATAACTTGCTCTGATCTTTTTTTTTTTCCTCTCTCTTATCTTCATAAACCTGGTACCTACCTCTAATTCTTATGTCTTTCCAGAATTATATTTCAGTTTTTTTCTGCTCAGGAACTTCTTTCCAACTTCCAAAGCTGTCATCATCTCCTCACTGCTGTCTTCCCCTATTCTGCTCTGGGCTTTAGTGCACTATTGCTTTTTGTTTCTTTAACCTCAGCAGGGCTTGGGAAGGTAGTTAAGATAAATGCTGGAGAAGGTAGTTTAATCTGAAGGCTACAATCCTTTCATATATACAGGTAATTTTGTTATATCTGCAAATATTAAGTATTCATTTACTGTGTACTATACTAAGGCTAAGAATGAGCATAAATGCATGTCTTATGTTAGGTTTCTCAAATTTTTTCTTTCAATATCAATATGCAAGTGTCCAAGATCTGGAATGGGGAGGCGGGAAGAGAAGAAAAAGGAAACAAAGCTTACAAATTATTTTGTTCCATATTTATTTCTTCTTTCAAAAAAATATCTCCATCTTCTAGTTCCAAGTAGCTAATATCTGGTCCATCCTGATATGGTGTAATGACTCTTTTATCCATTGCTGGAATCTACAGAAAAAAACATGTCATCTTTTAAATACAAAATTTACAAAGAAAGATCTCTTTAAAAATTGATATAATATACCATTTGTTTTAAAATATATATTGATTTTTATATAGAGAGGTGATTTTTATACAGAGAGGAAGGAAGAGAGATAGAGAGTTAGAAACATCGATGAGAGGGAGTCATTGATCAGCTGCCTCTTGCACACCCCCTACTGGGGATATGCCCGCAACCAAGGTACATGCCCTTGACCGGAATCAAACCCGGGACCCTTCAGTCCCCAAGCCGACGCTCTATCCATTGAGCCAAACCGGTCCCGGCAATATACCATTTGTTTTAATATATAGTGACATTAACTAGAAAAAGCCTAGAATACCTAATGGCTTTCTAAATTTAAATCAAGGGTTTGATTAATAAAAGATTATTCCATTAAGGCATGGAGGACAAAAAAAAAAAAAAAAAAAAAAACCTTAACAGAAAAGCACCCCTTTATTAAAAATACTAACTATCCCTGAAGGGTCCCGGGTACGATTCCCTGTCAAGGGCACATGCCCGGGTTGCAGGCTCAATCCCCAGGACGGGGTATGTGGGAGGCAGCCAATCAGTGATTCTGTCTCATCACTGATGTTTCTCTCTCTCTCTCTCCATTCCTCTCTGAAATCAATAAAAATATTTTTAAGTGCAAATTAATCTATTTGTTACAGGAATCATGTAAACACATGTTTTTCATTGTCCTGACCTTTGGTAAGTACTAATGAATGTTCCTGAAGCTTTTAATAACTTTCATTTATGAAGAAATTAAAATATACTAATCATTAAATATCTTGAATTTCAATTATCCTATTTATTTATGGAATCTGTAAAGAAATACTAGAAGAGGTCAATTGGGGAAAAGACGGGGTATATGTAACACTCTCAACAATAAAGATTTTAAAAAATATATGTATATAAGAAGAAATACTAGGTCCTGTTTCCTAAAAGATCCTAAAATATTAGAATTCATTAGGAAATTATCCCACTGAGATGTCTGACCTAATATAATACTTTAGATGATAATATCAAAAGAACATAAACCTTACCATTTTTCGGTAAAATGCAGAAAGATCCTTCAAAACACCAACACTTAAAACATCAAGAGACCTAACAAGTAAGATACAAAATGTTATCTTAATACTTACGTAAAACCTGTCAAGGTTTTCAAATATGTAGAGATAATTTATTTTGCTAAATAAGTTATTTTTAAAACATTAATATCTAACTGCTACATATTCTTTTAGTAAGCATGCGTAGTTATATATTTCAATAAACATGAACACACTAGACAAATATATAAAACTCAAACTCTTAGAAAAAAATATTTTCTATTGTAATGAAATAGCAGGTACATATTCAACTTTCATTTTCCACAAATTATAATCCTTAATTATAGGAGTGCTTATATTGATAGAATATTTACCTATCAGGATACCTAAATTTTATCTAGCATTACCAACTAACTTCATGACCTTGAGCAACTCATATTACCTTTCTGGGTTTCAGTATCTTCCTGTGTAAAATGACAAAACATTAAACTGCCAAAATATTATTTCCTCTAAATTGAACCCTAAGAGGCAATTATTAAAAATCTGTTTAATAAAGCATTTTTATTCCAATCAGTTTTGGGATTAGTTTCATTAAAGATTATACACACTTTAAAGATCAGTTATCACCCTAACCAGTTTGGCTCACTCAGTGGATAGATAAGTGTGTCTGTTGGCCTGTGGATTGAAGGGTGCTGGGTTTGATTCTGGTCAAGAGCATGTACATTGGTTATGAGCACATCCTCAGTATGGGGTGTGCAGGTGGAAGCTGATCAATGTTTCTCATCGATGTTTCTAACTATCTCTCTCCCTTCCTCCCAATAAAAAAATCAATAAAATATATATTAAAAAGAAATTTTAAGTCAGTTATCAAAAACTGTGATTTATAATAAATTACGTAGGTCAAAATTTTCTTGATTCTTTACCAAAAAAGTTTTCTGGGTTTTCTCAGCTTTAATATAAAGATATAAACAGATTCTGCTTGGCCTGTGTGCCTCAGTAGTTGAGAGTCGACTCATGCACCAAGAGCTCCCTGGTTCAATTTAGCTGAGGCACAAACCTGGGTTGTAGGCTCAATCCCCAGTAGGGACAGGCAGGAAGCAGCTGATCAGTGGTTCTCTCGCATCATTGATGTTTCTCTCTCTCCCTTTCTCTTGCTCTCTAAAAATCAATTAAAAAATCAGAATCTAATTCATAGTTTTCATGAAATTAACTGTATCTAAGTAATACCTTTAGAATGCTACCTGGCACAATAGTATTTGTTATCATTAATACTTTTATTGTCATTATTACCATTAATAATTATTATGGCAGTTTTAGTTGTTGTTATTATAATGAGTAACACAAAATATATTAGATATCAAAGCTTTTAAAATGCAAACTGACACCAAGATCTCTAAACTCAAATTTGTGTTCACCAAACACTCATTTTTCTCACCACTGACTTTATAATGAATAAGTGTAATAAAATTTTGACTTTATTAAAAAAATATATAAATTCATTTCATTAAAAAAAAATCCAGTGCTAAAACAATTGAAAACAGAATATTACCAAGATCCCTCTAATTCTAAGATGTCTATAACTCCTAAATCATTAACATCAAATAATTTCCATTCAGGTAATCCTCATAATATGAAATACTAACTTATAAAACAGGCTGTATATATATTTAGCTGACTTTTTATGTAAAATGAGTAATTTTTCATAATCATTTCATTACTCACTGATTTTAACATAAAGCCTTCCAAGCACCTACCAGCTTGCAACAAACTAGAGAAAATAAAATTTTCAGACCATCCCTTGCAGCCTAAGTTGGACAGGAAATGTCTTAAAGAGAATAATTAAGTACTAGTATTACAGATAGTGTCCAAAAGCCAAGGTCACAATTATATAGTTACAATCCAACCTAAACAAGCAGAGAGATGCATACATATAAAAAAAATATACTGTGATAATATTGCTTCACAACTTTGCAACCAGAATGTAAGCATTACTGAGGATTTTGTCTATTTTATTCATTGTTGTGTCTTATCAATGGCGAGCATATAGTAGGTACTCAAATGTTCATGGAATGATTAAATCCACTTAGATTTCATTTTTTCTACAAAATCAGAATTTATCATTATTCACTTTTAAATTACTAATATATCTGCTATTTCTAAATAACTGCTTTTGCAATGATCATATAATGTATATACCCAACCTACCTTGCTTCAAGTAAAGCTGCCATATTCAGTACTATAAACTGTAAACAAGACAGTTTCAATTGCTCAGCATTGTACATTGCTGCAAATTCTAGTAGCATAGCAGCATTCTTGAGGGTAACTACAAAGGAAGAAAATGCATGCAAAATGAGATAAAAGGCATGTCCTACAGAAAATAAAATACTATTCTAAAGTTGTCAGTTTGAACATTTAGAACAAGGAAAACTGTTCGTTTCTTGACAAAAATAACTTATACAGACACAAATATAAAACTCACTTTTCTTAAAATATGTTTTTTATGATTTCAGAGAGTAAAGAAGAGGGAGAGAGAGAATCACTGATAGGCTGCCTCCTGCACACCCAGTACTGGAGATGGAGCCCACAACTCAAGACATGTGCCCTGAGAATTGAACCGTGACCTCCTGGTTCATAGGTCAATGCTTACACATTGAGCCACACCAACTGGGAAGAACTCACTTTTCATCCTAGTATGCCAGAGTAATTTTAAATGATTGGTTATGAGAAAAAATGACACATAAAAAAAATTTTAAGCAGACAAAATACAGAAGATGCATTCTAGTCACCTAAAAGCAAACACATAGAATGAATAATCTTCCACCTAATATTTTTATAGAATGTTTTACTTTAATTGATAACCAACTTTTCTTCTCATTTATATAGTACATAAGTCATTCTCTCTTCTATAAAACTAAAGTTATTCTTAAGAATGAGAAACATGAAATATATTTAATATCTATAAAATATGATAATTTTCCATTTATGTGGGTATATTTGCATAAACACACTACATATTTTGGAATATAATTATATCTATATCTTACCATATTGTTCAGGCCAGTGCAGAACCTGGCATCCATACAAAAGATTCTGGATTTTGTTAAAATGCCAGTAATGAAATATATACTTTGTATATGAAGTAGGATATTCTGGGACAGTCTTCTAGGAAAACATTTTTCATATATACTAGCATGTAACTTTGACTTCTTAAACCTCTTCATTCTTTTTCTTATTCATTCTGAGTCCCAGAGAAACAGAACTATCTTCTACACAAGCTTCCACCATTTCTTTTTTCTTTCTCCCTTGTAACTGTCAAAAGTTATAACTGCAAGCAAGCAATAATCAAGCAATAATCATCTCTGTCTCACTTCTGACTAACCTAGTTTCAACTAATAAATAATGAGTCCAGAGTCTCCCATTTCAAAGAAATTAAAATGGGTCATATAAAAAACTTGGAATTGTTCAGTGGGAATAAGGATTGCCCAGTAAATGAAGGCCAAACCATTCTCTTGCTAGGTTCGAGAAGATCGAGGAATTCATTAATCAAGGCAACTGTGCAGCAAGGGCCAAGAAAAAAATATCCAAAGAATACCAGGAAAGTGAATTTAACATCTAAAAATGTCTTCTATATGGATACTTTATACCTGTTGCATCCTTTATTTTATATATATTCTCCTTTCTTGCTTAAAAGATCAGAGCAATTGTTCTCATTCTGATAAACTCTATGGAGTATCTTCTTCTGGATTAAGACAAACTACTAGCATTTATAAATTAGAAAAACTTGACAGGAAATCATTTCACACTTCAGGAGAACAAAGATAAGGTTAGAAAGTCACAAAACTTTTATATCAGGCTAAGGAAATTTAACCTTTATCCTAGAATAAGCAATTAAAAATACCTAAACAAAGAGAGACATCATTACTTCCTACAGAAAGATTAAAGAGAAGTTAGAAGAGAGAAAGAGGATTTAAAAGACTACTGTGGCCGAAACCGGTTTGGCTCAATGGATAGAGCGTCGGCTTGGGGACTGAAAGGTCCCGGGTTCAATTCCGGTCAAGGGCATGTTCCTTGGTTGCGGGCATATCCCCAGTAGGAGGTGTGCAAGAGGCAGCTGATTGATGACTTTCTCTCATCGATGTTTCTAACTCTCTATCTCTCTCCCTTCCTCTCTGTACAAAATCAATAAAATATATTTTAAAAAAAATAAGACTACTGTGACATTACATGGAAGAGATGGGTAACAGTGAATTCAAATGAGCATGATCACAGAATAAAAAGTTGGGGAAAATGTGATCAACACAGTTAAGATGATTCAGTTTTGAAAACTAAAAGAATCTGGTACACACAGAACAAAAAGAAAAACAAAAACTTGCAGTTTCAAAGTTGAGTGCTTAGGAGAAAAGCCATGCAATTAACTGAAATAATGAACAGAGAAACAAATAAAAAGTTTAAGAGGAAAAAAGATGTGTTATGATCAAATATATTAATGAAATGGTTACATAAACATTCCATCAAATAGTTAGGAAATGGGTAGCTAAACATAGACCTACAGTCAACAATAGGAAAAGGGTAAAAAGTATCTATTTCCAAATTCACCCTTGAAATTCCAAAGTATCACAGCATCTTTATTATTCAAACTAGAGACCAGGTGCAGGAAATGTATATACGCGGGTGGGGGTGAGGGGATGTCCCTCAGCCCAGCCTGTACCCTCTTCAATCTGGGATCCCTCTCACAAACCAGGACCGATGACTCCCACCCACTTGCCTGCCTCTGCCTGATTGCCCCTAACTGCTTCTGCCTGCCAGCCTGGTCACCCCTAACTGCCCCTTCCCCTGCTGGTCTGGTCTCCCCCTCCCCCCCCCCAACTGTAGGCCTGGTCACTCCCAACTGCCCTCCACTGCTGGCTTGGTTCCCCCCCGGCTGCCCTCCCCTGCAGGCCTGGCCCGCCACAACTGCCCTCCCATCCTGGCCTGGTCTCCTCCAATTGCCCTCCCCTGCAGGCCTGGTCCCCCACAACTGTCCTCTCCTGCTGGCCTGGTACCCCAACTGCCCTCCCTTGCTGGTCTGGTCTCCCCAACTGCCCTCCTCTACTGGCCTGGTCACCCCCAACTGTCCTCCCCTGCTGGACATCTTTTGGTGGCCATCTTGTGTCTTGGAGTGATGGGTAATTTGCATATTACTCTTATATTAGATAGAATTTATGTGACATTTAAAAAAAGAATATATTTCAATTATAATGTACATATTTTCACATACTAACCTTTCTGAAAGATATGCTTACAAATGATGACATGAAATAATGTAAATGTTTTCACATTTTTATGATACAAAAAATATCGGTATATTTTAGCATAAATGGCATCAAAAGTCAATTAAATACAACAATCCTAGACCAACCTGAAAACATACTAATATCCTAATTCAAAAATACTCACGTTTTTCTGTTAATGCTACTTCACAAATCTCTTTCAATCGAGTTATGAGAAGCTGATCAGCCACCACAAGAACACTACAAATAAAATCCACATTTTGAGATTCTAAAAAACAAAAACAAAAAACAACAACAAGCATCACTCTTCATTGCTTTACAAACATAAGACCTAGGAAAAACAGTAATTAAGACAGTAAAAGAGAATTATACTGGCTACTTTCTAAATGTTGAAATTGTAACTATGAAATTGTAAACTACTAATAATATAAAAATATTTCTACCTAGAAACATAACAAAATGCTCTAACACCACAGAATGAGCAACCTGAGTTAATCTTCTTAGTGGAGAGGGCTACTACAATGCCTGACTTATTTAAAATCTCCCGTGTTGTTAAACATTTCTCAAATTAATACAATAAATAGGAGGGAAAGTCAAATCTCAACCGTAAGTTTAACATAAGTATGTGTTAACATATAAATATACATCTATGTGTATATATGAGGGAAGGAAGGGGATTAGGGATAAATAATGCTCTAAGGCTTCCTTATTTAAAACAAATCTGGTGCCCTAGCTGATTTGGCTCAGTGGATAGAGTGTCCGCCTGCAGACTGCAGGGTCCCAAGTTCAATTCTCAGTCTCTCAGTCAAGGCCACATGCACGGGTTACAGGCTCCAACCCCAGTAGGGGGTGTGCAGGAGGCAACCGATCAATGAGTCTCATTACTGATGTTTCTATATTTCTCTCTCTTCCTCTCAGAAATTAATAAAGATATATTTTAAGACAAACAATGAAAATTCACATCTAAGAGTACATTTTTTTAAAACTACAGGAATTCCTTAATTTAAAATAACCTTATTGGTCCAGCATACTAATGGCCGTAAGTAACGTCCCTGAGCCACTGCCAGAATAACAACATAAGTAGAGAAAAAAAGAAAAGAAAAAACCTCCAAATGAAGCAAGGGGGAGAAATGGTTAAGAAAAGAAATGGAGAGATGGAGTCATTGGATATGACAAACTAAGGACTATTTTCAAAATCTCTCCAACAAGGCAATGAGAATACTGCAAAAAAAAAAAAAAAAAAAAAAAAAATTGTCAAAACAACTTTTTCAGAATCTAAAACTTAGCCAAATACTTGTAATGATTTGGAGAGTGCTGACTCTAAGAAATTTAGGTAAATCTTGGTAAGACAGTGAGTTTTGGGACATTGCAGCTTTTCTCTTTATGTCCTCCTCTTCCCTCTTTCACAGTAGTCTTAAAACCAACAATTATGCAATTACAGGGGAAATGAACAACTACAGCCACTGGAGGAGACAGAACCATTGTGAAGCAACATTATTATTTTTTAAAGTCATTATTTGACATGTCTGGTTATTACCTGTAAACCCAACCCAATAGCAGGGCTTGTCTTTAATGGACATACTCAAAGCTTGCCCAATGTGAATAGCCTCTTTCTTAGGGGCATTTATTAAAAACAAACATCAGTAATTGTCTCACACTGGATCTGACTGAGACAATGATAAAGGATGGAGCAAACAAGAAATATAAAATTAGAAAAAATACTTGAATAACTAGGAAAAGAGATGTTATAACTGAATGTTTGTGTGCCCTGAAAATTCACATGTAAAAGCTCTAATTTAAATATAGTATCGTTTTATTTGGAGATGGAGCCTTTAAGGAAGTAATTATGGTTAAATAAAATAAGAGGTTATTATATAATGATAAAGGGGTCAATACATCAATAGGCTAACAGGGGTCCTCAAACTTTTTAAAGTGGGGGCCAGATCACGGTCCCTCAGAGAGCTGGAGGGCCGGACTATATGAACTACTAATTCCTACTATAACACCTCGGCTGCGCTCACTGCCCAAAAAACCTGGTGGGCCGGATCAGACTCCTCTGCGGGCCGCATGTGGCCCGCGGGCCGTAGTTTGAAGACGCCTGCGCTATAACAATTATAAAGATATACGCAAACAACATCAAGTCTAAGTATATAATGGAACTATTAACAGAATGAAAGGCAGAAACAGACATCAATAGCCTGGCTGGTATGGCTCAGTATATAGAGCATTGGCCTGCAGACTAAAGGGTCCAGATTCGATTCTGGTTAAGGGTACATGCCTGGGTTGTGGGCTCAGTCCCCAGTGTGGGGAGTGAAGGAGGTAGCCAATCAATGATTCTCCCTCATTGTTTTCTCTCTCTCCCTCTCCCTTCCTCTCTTAAATCAACAAAAATGTTTTGTTTTGTTTTAAATAGACATCAATATATAATAATAAAAAGGGCTTTATATTCAAAGTATGAATAGATCATTCAGTTGAGAAAATCAGTACAGAAACAGACCTGACCAATACTATAGATCAAATGGCCCTAAAAGACACATACAGAGCATTCCATCCAAATGAAGCAAATACATATTTCTCTCAAATACACACAAAACATTCTATAGGTGAGATCATATGTTAGGCCACCACAAGTTTCATCAATTTAAAAAGATGAAATCATACCAAGAATCTTCTCCTAATATAAAGGTAAAAAAACAAAATAACAGAAAATTTGGAATATGCATATATGTGGAAAAATAATCAACAAAGTCCTAACAACCAGTGAGTCAAAAAAGAAATCAAAGAGAAATTAAAAAATATATATTTTGAGATATATGAAAATGGAAACCCAACATACCAGAACTGATGGTATGAAGCAAAAAAAACAAAAACAAAAACAAAAACCCAACTTCCTAAGAAGGAAGTTTATACTAATAAATGCCTTAACAAAAAAGAATTCAAAGGAATGAACTTCAATATTTTGCACAACAAAGAACAAAAAAATAACAAATGAAGTCCATAGTTAGAAGAAAGGAAATAATAAAAATTACAGCAGAAATCAATGAACTCAATACTGAAAAATAAACACCAAATTTAAGATTTGGTTTGAAAAGATAAATAAAACTAACAAACATTTAAGTCGACTAAGAAAAAAAAGAGGACTCCCATAAAATCATAAATGAAAGAAGAGAAATTATAAATGATACCACAGAAATACACAGGACCATAAGTGAATACTTATTACGAACAATTAAATGGCAATGAATTGATAATCTAGTATAAATGAATCAATTCAACAAATGTACAACATACCATGCCTGAATCATGAGGATCTGAGTAAATTACAGAGTAAAAAGAGTGAATCAGTAATCAAAACTTTCCCAAAAAGATTAGATGGCTTCAAGAGTGAATTTCACCAAACATTTAAAAGAAAAATTAACACTGGCCCTTCTCAAACTTGTCCAAAAAATGGAAAGAAAAACTTCCCAAGTCATTTTATGAAGTCAGCATTATACTGATACCAAAGGCATGCATGATACTACAAAAAAATTAGATAATATCCCTGATAAACATACAAGCAAAAATCCTTAATAAAATGTTAGTAATTTAAATTCAACAGTATTAAAAGTATTGCACACAATGACCAAGTAGGATTTATGTCTGAGATGCAAAGAAGGTTCAATACATCAAATCATAACTATGATACACTACATTAACCAAATAAAGGATAAAAATCATATGATAATCTCAATAGATGCAGAAAGTGCACATGAAAAAATTCAATATCCATTCATGATCAAAACTCTCTACAAAATTAGGTATAAAAGGAATGTACCACAACACAATGAAGGCCATATATGACAAACCCATAGCTAACATAATACTCAACAGTAAAAATATGAAAGCTAATCACCCTAAAATCAGGAAGATCTATTTATCACAGTACTAGAAGTCCTGGCCAAAGGAATCAGGCAAGAAAATTAAATAAATGACATCCAAATTGGAAAGGAAAAAACTGAACTGTCTCTATTCGCAGATAATAAGATCCTATATATAGAAACCCTAAAGATCCCACTAAAAAGCTATGAAAAGTAATAAACAAATTCAGTCAAGTTGAAGGATACAAAACCAACACACAAAAATCAGTTGCTTTTCTATGCCTAATGAATTATCCTTAAAATAAAGAAAAAAGTCCCATTTACAATTACATCAATATAAAATACAGGAATAAATTTAACCAAGAAGATTAATGATCTGTATGCTAGAAAATACAAAACATTGAGGAAAGATATAGAAAAAGACACAAGTAAATGGAAAGATATACTATGTTCATGGACTGGAAGAACTGATATTGCTAAAATGTCCATTCTACCGAAAGCAATCTACAGATTCAATAAAATCCCATCAAAATTCCAATGGCATTTTTCACGGAAATAAAAAATAAAATAAAAAGCAGCATGGATGAACTGGAGAGTACCATGCTAAGTCAGTTAGAGAAAGACAAGTATCACATGATCATACTTGTAATCTAATATGTGTAATCTAAGTAACAAAATAAACTGTTGACAGAGTGAATCCAGAGACATGGAAGCTTGGAACAGAGTGGGGAATCTCAGAGGGAAGGCAGGGGAGGTGGTAATCAACCAAAGACCTACCCTGTTTCCCGGAAAATAAGACAGTGTCTTATATTATTTTTTGCTCCCATAGATGCGCTAGGTCTTATTTTCAGGGGATGTCTTATTTTTCCATGAAGAAGAATACGGTACACATTTATTGTTAAATGAAAATAAAGGAAATTTATTACCTGTATATGGTACGGTAGTTGTCAACCCAAACCAGACAAACTGTGAATCCTACAGTATCAAGAATTTACTCATTTATTCAATGACAATCATGTCATCATCTCCTGGAACATCATCATTCCTGAATTTCCTGGTGAATTTCTTGTGATTCCATTTCTTTCAGAATCAGTTGACCAAATCTCTCATGTTTAGCCTAGGGGGGCGGCCTTATTTTCAGAGGAATGCCTTATATTTCACTCAGAAGGAAACCTGTAAATAGGTCTTATTTTCAGAGGATGTCTTATTTTCGTGGAAACACGGTAATATGCATGGACACAGACAAGAGTACTGAAGGCCTGGGGCAAGGGACAGGTGTGGGCTGGAGGGGTCAATGGGGGGGAGGGATAAACGAGGACATGTGTAATACTTTCAACAATAAAGAATTATTTAAATAATAATATTAATTAATTAAAAAGCAATTCTAAAATTCATATGGAATCACACAAAAAATCCCTGAATATCCAAAGCAATCTTGAAAACAAAACAAACCAAAAAAACTGGAGAAATGGCACTTCCAATTTTAAACTCTATTACAAAGCCATAGTAATCAAAATGGTAATTTATTAGTATAAAAAAAAAAGACAAGCCTTTCCGGCCGGAACCGCCATCTTCCAGGTTGGCCCTGCGCGTGGCTCCCGACGGCCGTGGTTATACAGACTTTCAGTAATTCGCCAAAATGACTAACACAAAGGGAAAGAGGAGAGGCACCCGCTATATGTTCTCTAGGCCTTTTAGAAAACATGGAGTTGTTCCTTTGGCCACATACATGCGAATCTACAAGAAAGGTGATATTGTGGACATCAAGGGAATGGGCACTGTTCAAAAAGGAATGCCCCACAAATGTTACCATGGCAAAACCGGAAGAGTCTACAATGTCACCCAGCATGCAGTGGGCATTATTGTGAACAAGCAAGTTAAGGGCAAGATTCTTGCTAAG